AAGATTGTCTTTTCCTCACCAAATGGTCTTAGACATCTTGTCAAAAAATATTTTTCCCTTTATGAAGAATTTTGCTATATGTACATATTTATTCCTGGGCATTATATTGTATTTCACTTGTCAATGTGTCTGGTTTTTTTGTCAGTATTATATGATCTTATTATATCTCTGTAGTAAGCCTTGGAGTATATGTCCTCCAAAATTGTCCTCCTTTTGCCAGATTCTTCTGGCTGTTTGGAATCCCTTGAGATTATGTATTAATTTTAGGATATTTTTCCTTTAAGTATTTTTTTCCTTCAAAAAAATTTGGATTTTGATAGGTATTGCAGCAAATCCATAGGTTGCTTTCAAATGATCAACCTCATAACAATATTAAGTCTTCTAACCTGTGAGCACAGACTATCTTTCTGTTTATCCTTGCTGTCTATAATTGCTTTCAGCAACACTTGGTCAAATTTTTTTGCCTTTTTGGTTAACTTTATTTCTGGAAAAATTTTAATGCTACTATAAAATAAAATCATTTTCTTTTTTAGATTGCTCAGTTAGTGTATGGAAACAAACCAGAATTTTATTTGTTGATTTTGTACCCTGCTCTCTACTTAATTCATATATTAGTTCTAGTGTGTGTGCGTGTGTGTGTGTGTGTGTGCACGTGCGTGGCAGTATGACACTTGGTGCTCTTCCTGGATAATTCCCATCTCAGCAGTGGTGGCGAACCTATGGCACATATGCCACAATTGGCTGTTATCGCTGAAAGCTCTTATAAAGTCTTCTCTGATGCCTTCCTAACCCCCTCAGGTAATTTCCAAACTTCCTTGGCCTTTCTCTTTCACAGACCCTCCTACCACTACTGTTGCATTTTTATATGGATTCCTTGTATAATTTTTTTGCATGATTGTTTTTCCCCACTCAGGTGAAGTCATGCAGCCTTAGGAGGGTACGTTTCTTCTCATGGCTGTACCTTCAGCAACAGACATAGCCCTGTACCTTGTAGACCCTCCCGGACTGACCAGCTAGCAGATAAAGCCCCAGATGGACATCCTGGCCCTCAGGGAGGTCTTTCTTTCAAGGTGTACCAGTTTAGGGACACTTGGGTAGTAGCCACCTGGTTAGGTCCCTCAGTCTGAAATCTGACCTGCACTTTTCAGAGAGGCAGGACCTACTGTAGTCCTTGCTCCTAGGCAGGTTAAAAGAAATGAGTGCAGCCATAGGCAACAGTGGAAGGCAGGTATAAGAAAGTTCAAGGCTGTGAACACAGGACCACAGACTGGGTGCTTCGGACAGCAGATGTTTAATGTCTCCTGTTAGGGAGGGCAGAAGTCCAAGATCAAGGTGTCTGCAGGGTCCCCTCAAGGGATTAGGGAAAAATCTGTCTAGGCAGGCCTCTGTCTACTTTCTGGTAGTTCTTTGGCCTGTGTCAGAGTCATTCCCATCTCCATATGTCTCTGTGTCTAGATTTCCCTTTTTTAAGCCATATAGGATTAGGGCCCACCCTACTCTGGCTTGATTATCCTACCTAATTACATTGGCAAAGACCCTCTTTGCAAATAAATTCACATCTTGAGATACTAGGGGGTCAAGACTTCCTCATATGAACTCGGAAGAGAGACATAGTTTGGCCCTTCATACAAGGTGAAGCCTCCTCGGGCCCCATTCTTAAGGCACTGGGGTCACCTTAGCCTGAACCATGCTGGGAAGCTCATGGGCCAGGATGGAGCCTCTACCTTCCACCACAATCCCTGGGTACAGGGAGCAGTAAGCAGACAGAGCAGGTACCCTGTCTATAGATGCAGGTGAGGCTGCTTACATTACAGGTGTGCACCACCAAAAACACCTTGAAGTAGACTTAATTGTGCAAAACGTATATCACTCCTCCATTGAAATATAAATGGTACAGAGGTAGGTCCTCATGCCTCTCCTCCTCACCCCGCAGGGCCTGACATGTTCCTTAGGAACTGCTGAAGGATAAGGAAATTAACTGTCTCCCTGAACTGGCTGCTAAAGATGGGAATCCACTGTGGAGTAGCCATGATCACATCCCTAGACGTGAAACATAGTACAAAACATGTATAGGCAGCATGGCTGTTTTCTGTATAAGAAAAACAAATTTATATATTGTATTGAAAAAGGAGAGACCCAGTCTAGAAGTCTCAGTATGGAAGAGTTGCTTTTCCTTTTTTGTTTGCTTGTATTTTTTTTAATCATACATAATAAACATATATACTTTTGAAACAAATCAGAAAGCTGTTTTTTGAAAAGAAAAAAAAATGTCACCCAGGAGAGCCTGTGACCTGCCCCAGGATGCGACGAGGCCAGGGACAATACCAGCCTCAAATCCAGTCCTTAGTCCCAGTCAGTGCCACATGCAGCTGTGGGTCTCAGCATTGGCCTTTGGGGCTTGCCCTGCAATTCTAGAAGAGTAGCAGGAGGGCCAGTGGGTCTCTGGCTAGCCTCACACACCTCCTCTCTCCCTCTCTCCCATTGATTCAGGACACGTGGAGACACACACCTTAGGACTTAGAAAGGCCTTTTAGGGCCTAGAGCACTTGCAGTTGTCCGAGCTGAGACCCGCTGGAGGGAGGGAGCACCTGCTTGTCACAGAGGGAACATCCACGAGAGAACTGCATTTCTTTTGCTGGGACTATTGTGCAGACACCTGTCTCCCACACCCTCTCTATGCCAGAGGTCCGTTCCAGCCATTTCGCTTTTCTCGAGTGGGGGTGGATCTGAGTCCCACAGAGGACTCAAATGGCGAAGTTATGGCTGCCGCTCCAGAGGTAGTGCTGGCACGGGGTGCGTGGAGGCCCGTCGCACTGAAAAGATCTTCCTCTAAAGCGCCTTTCCTCTGCCAGGAATTGAGGAGCGACAGTGCTCAAACTTGCTCCGCGTAGCCTCAGCCGCCCCTGGAATGGTGGTTTCTGTGAGGCGGCGCAGATCTGGCTCCCATTGCTCGGTGGCAGCAGAAAGCTGAAAGGGCGGAGGAGGGGCTCAAACCGGGTCACAGAGAGGAGTGCGGACAGGAGTTAAGGAGAGGATGGGGGGCGTTGGAGCGAGGCTTGCTTTATTTTTTCCAAAATCTGAGCGGCAAATGCCGCAGAAAACGAGTTAAATTCACGCCGGGTCTGCACACTGGCGGGACCAGGGGAACTCCCAGGGAGGGCTGAGGAAAGCTCGCCCAGTTCCGGCCGGAGGTCGGCTCCGGTCGTCCGGGATCCGCGGAGGTCCTGATCAGCCCCGGGGTTGGTCGGGGACCGCCTGTCCCTTCAGGCCTGAAGCACACAGCTGGGGTGGCTCCTTCTGAAGCCAGCCCAGGACAACAAACAAGAGAGGCCAGGAAGCCC